TTTGATTGTGATCAGGATGCTCCATGTTCTTTCCGGAGTGCTTGCTGACTGACACACTCGAGACGTAAAGGCCTTCCGTGTCTCGAACCTCTCTCATAAACCACTCAAATCCTCTGCTCGTTCCGCCCTTCCAGGCAACACACCGCTCCACTCCTGCACGACTGTTCTGTGTGCGTGGCAGGCCGCGGGCCGACTTTCCCATCTACCGAAGACCATCCGCTCAGGAATGGAGCCCATCCACTCGCTACGGCAAAGGACGTGCGGCTGCAGGCACAAGGCCCACAGTAGCAGTAACATCGTCAAGGAAACCGAATGCATAACCGAATTCTGGATCCCATGGGTGATCATTTGCTTGTTATTTGCTTTTAAATTAAGCACTAACCTCTGATCGTACAAACAAAAATCCGCAAAAGGCAATCTATTTCAAAAAAGCAGAAGAACAATACGATGTGTAGAATCAGTAGGATTTGCCGTAGCTTTTCATTAAAGTAAGGCAGTACAACACTACTCTCACTTCGGCCTTCCCTATCCGTTTTCTCAAGCATGCGCCCGTTTCTTCATCTGCTCCATCCACAGCAAGGCATAACGTCCATTTGGAATGGCCATCAGCTCCTCATGATTACCGCGCTCCACAACCTCGCCCTGGTGCATAACCAGAATCTCGTCCACGTGTCGTATTGTGGACAATCGATGCGCCACTATGATTGTGGTCCGGTTCTCGCAAATCTTATCCAGGCTCTCCTGAATCAGTCTCTCTGTGCTCGTGTCCAACGCTGACGTAGCCTAAGTCACAAGTACAAATCATGCTTAGCCAAAAAGTGTCAGTGTACGAGCTTTCAAGCAAATGATAATGCACTTCGTCGAGAAGGACGATTTGAGGCGCCTTGAGCAAGGTCCTGGCGATCGCGACACGCTGCTTCTCCCCACCTGACAACTTGAGTCCACGCTCTCCCACAACGGTGGAGTAGCCCTGTGGAAACTCCTGAATTCGCTCGTGCATCTCTGCGGCTCGTGCTGCGGCTAACACCTCCTCGGAGGGTGCAGTGTGTCGACCATAGCGAATGTTGTAGTTGATGGTGTCGTTGAAGAGAACCGTATCCTGTCCACAGAAGGAGAGAAGTAATTAGCTGGTAAGCGTGACATGCCCGACTATGCCGCAGGAATTGCTTCCCCACCTGAGGCACAACACCAATGGCCTGATGGAGTGACTGCTGGGTCACGTTGAGGATATTCTGTCCGTCAATCAAAATGTCTCCACTTGTGGGCTCGTAGAAACGGAAGAGAAGACGCATGACTGTCGACTTTCCACTGCCAGTTTGACCCACCTTTTGGAAGAGGGGATAAAAAGATGGTCGTCATTACCATGACCACTTCATCAGAAAAAGGCTATTCCGCAAACATGTTTTGACTTCTGTTTTAAGAAGTCGGAATAGAAGATCTCTTACCAAAGCCAGTTTCTTGCCCGGCATCACAGTGAAGGAGACATTCTTCAAGACCGGCCGCC